ACGTTTACTTGTTGCTATGAGACTGTTAGAATGTACAAGTATCCATACGTTTGCATAATATGTGTTTTATAAATTATTGAATAGGATAATTATATTAAAATATATTTTTTTTCATTTTTATTTATAATTATCTCTTTAGAATTTTTTAGATCTACTAATTAATATTCTTGTAAATCATTTCGCCGTTTTATTGCAGACAATATTTTGACTTCGTTGAAATCTAAAGAAGAAATTTCTTCAAGAGATCGTTGACGCACGTATGCCACTTTTAAGTGCGATTGACAAACGCATCGGCAGAGCGAGAAAAGACGTTCGCGAGATAGTTGTGCGTTTCTTGTGTCTAACATCCGGTTAGCCACTCGTCCAACTCGCGATCTCTCTTCTTTCTGTTCTCTTTTCTTTATTTTTCATCCTTCCGCCCAACGAATCGCTCTTCTGCTCTCAGGGTTCTTGCACTCTCGCCCATTCCGAATCGGATTTTTCGTTTTCGTCGCAGCTGTCGACGATGGACAAGAAGTCTGGACCAGCTGGTATACGTGCCGAGTGGGAGCAAGTTACATACGTATTTCGAATGATGAGATTCGCGATATCGGATTAATATCAAATATTTTCAAGATTCGAGTCTCGTTGGTGGAAAGTCTATTGACCTTTCTCTTTTAGGTATTTTTCTTATACACATTTTTTTTATCTTCTAATATTAGATTTAGATCTTGCGATAAATTATGAACGCAAGAGAATTATCAAAAAACTTTTAAAAAGAGAAACTTCAATATTTTATTATTTTCCATGTATGTGTGTGCGCATTGTACATACATATATATATATATGCATATCGCGAAATTGCCAAACATTATTTATTATATCTATTTAATATTTATTTAATATTTTTATTATATATCTATTTAATATGTTTATTTTATATCTATTTAATATTTTCATTATATATTACTATTGTATCTTCTTTGATAAGCTAACATATTTTTGAACCGATTGAAGAACATTGATTTTTGCATCTCATCTCTCTGTTGCATGTTTAATGTACGTAATTAATTATTATATTATATATTAATTACTAAAAATTCCATGTAATAATGAAATTATATTCAATTTAATAATGAAATTATAAATCTATTAATTATAAATATCTTAAAAAATAAGAATTTTCATTGAAGGAAAATCAATACTAAAGAATCTGTAATAAGAGAGAGAAAGGAATATTTTAAGAGTATTTTAGAAGATTTCGGTAATTAAACGCGTACATGAATTAAGACACTCGACAAATGCCGCAGACTTCTGGTTTATCTCGTCGTCAGTCCGCGTACGCGATGGCAACCGGTTCTCCTTTGATTAGAACTTCTCTGCCGAGAATGATGATTTCCGGTGGCGTCTCTTTTTTTATCTCCTACATTGGAACGATCGCGGACTGCCTAGAAAGAATCGGGTATTCCGTCTGCATTGTGCATCAAGGTGGATCGTAGCGAGACGAGAAAGAAGGAGAACGTTTTGCGCGTTGATCGCGTCGCGGTTCATTCATGAAGCCGTTCTTGCGCAAAATCATGTCCGATGAACGAACGGGCTGCACTTAACCCGCATCGCACGAAAGGCAACGAACGAACAGGAATGTCGTTAAGGGGGGTTTAATTGTACCAATTGCGTAATCGCTCGTATCAATTGGACGGCTCTTTTATACTAATTAGTAAGCTAAACATTAATTATTCACCATTTCGCGCGTAATATAATTATCGCTGCTTGCATAAGTTTCATTATCCACATAATAAAATAGATTCTGACAAGCAAATACGTACGAGATAAATTGAATTTTTCGCCAACGAATTTATTCGTAGATCACCGCGTCTTCCTTCGCTTCCTTCGAAGGTTTCTCTGAAAACGATGAAGATTGCTCGATCATATTTTCATTTCACGCCATTCGAGATAGATATATCGATATACATTCTTTATTGAAATTTATAAATAGAATCTTTCATCTTCTTTCAGTCTGAATCATTTTAATCGATAAAATTGATGAAACTTTCGATCACTAAAATAAATTTATAATATTTTCAGATAAAAAGAGAGAGTATGATATTTTCAGATTTAAAATAAGATGAAGAAAATTACAAGAAAAACCTACGGATATATCATGACGTTAATAGAAATCATATATCATGACACTATCTAAAAAAGGTCATACCACACAATAGATATAAATTCTATTTTTCTTCTAAAAATATCAGAAATTTCTTTTTTTTTCAAATATTATAATTAAATTATCAATGTATGAGAAAGTTTCTGAATTCTTTTACATGAGAGCACTGTATTTAAATAAATTTGCTTCTCTTAAGATTATTAGCGTCTTCTCTGAAGAGCGTCTTCGCGATTTTAGCATTACACACGTAGTTCTCTTGTCTTTTCCGGATTCGAGATGGCAACCAGTTTGCCGGGCACTCGATGGTTAACAACATCGTCTTTTTTCATCGAAGCATATGCCGAGCCTATATTAGGAAACTTGCAGTCACGTGTAAGAGGAGATAGCGCGTAGGCGCACGGAGCGAAAAATCAGAAATTTGACACAAATCTCCCGATTTTAATTGCATCGTCATTGAAGCAGTACACTTGCTCGATAATTATTTTCCTTCGAAAACGAGCGATGACATCCGATTATAAAATCTTTACTCTTTGCATCACACATTGTATTTCATCTCTCTTAGCATTTTATTGTATTTGACGATAACTATAAATTTATTTAAAGCAGATGTGAGAATAAAAATGGATACATAAATTATTTCGAATAAATACTTAATGAATAAAAAATGTAGAGATCGTTCACGTTGAGTCAGAAGATGTTTTACATGGAATAATATCAAGAAATATTTATGACATCAGAAATATTCATTAGGCGATTAGAAAGACTCAATGTTCTTATGAATCTCTACTTGTGACGATGTCATCTCTTTACATATAGTTTTTCTTTTTTTCCTTTTTTTCGTAAAAATGCGAAGTGTAAAACGTAAATTACGTTCTTCTATCCTCTCTTTTTTTCTATCTCTGTCTACGATTTTTCTCTAGATTTTCATAAACGCAAACAGATTACTACGGTGCCCATAAAAACAGGAGATATCCTATCGTTTCCTACCGTTCATCAAGACAGAAAACGGTTGTCTCAACGATAACAAGACGTATGCTTTGGTTGTATGCGATTATTAAATTTTTGCGCTAAGAGAGAAAGAGAACATTCTAACGCGCACCGTTCCTTCTCAGACCTCCTCGTGCTTGCCAAAATTCCTCTTTTTTTGACATGTATCGCGCTCTGTCCGTATTAGGAAACTTGCAGCCATTGTATCCGGTTTGCCCAAAGGACCAACGACGAATAACGATGACGAAGACAACGATTGCTCTTTTGCCTCTCTTTCTATTCTTTCTTCTCTTCCGTCATTTTTCATCCTTCCTCATTGATAACAATTGCAAAAAATTCACGAAAGTGATGAAACGATAAGAGAGATTTTAATCTCACACACATATACGAATCTTCCTTAAGTATATCTTTCTTAAAATCAAAGATCTTTAAAAAATAATTGAAGAGAATAAATTTATACAACTTGTAAATTTTTAACTTGCGAATCAGATAATCATTTTGGCGAGTAATTTTTCTTTTTCGCACACACAATGCGTATGCGTATCTGCAAATGTGTGTATGCCCGTGTGCACTGCACAAATACATACGATCGATGATAAAAAGCTTTCAAGGTGAGCCGGGCCGCAATATATGAATGGCCGTATGCATGAATGGGTGGCTGTACGCACTCTGGAGAGACCAATCGGTGGGATGCGGTGCACGCACGCAGACTCTGCCGATTGCGCGTACGTATCTGGCTAGTGCGTATATACAAGGTGTCTCGCAACTGCTTACAGTTCGTATTCTACAAGAAAATTGTAACAGTTATCTAATTATCCAAAATCTGTGCAAAAATTAAATTATCGTTGACTATACTTTATAAAATTCTTTTGTTAGTTCGATTAATAAATATGTAAGCCCTTCTTGATATTATATTTTGGCTAAAAAAATTTTTGAAGAAGAAATTGATATATAGAAAACTATTAACATAAAAATATTAGAAAATTAAAATTTAAAAATATTTAAAAATATCGCCGGGAAAAAATTAAAGGTTGAAAATCAAAAAAGATCGAATAGATCTAGTGGTATACTTTTAGTGTAATAATTATGATAATAATAATAATAATTATTATTATTATAGTAGTAATTGTGATGGCCAATTGTGCGACACCTTATGTATATGTACGTTGAATGTGTAGTCTACGTGCGTCTCCGTGTATAGTCAACTCGCAGACGTGATTCGCGATCGCAAACGTCCCACTGCTAACACCCATCAATGAAGTCAATATGTTAAAAGATACTTCGAAAAGATACAAGTTTAATTAATATTCTTCGTAAAAGCTTATTTAAAAAAATGCAAATTCGGCAAACAATCGCGAATATAATATAAAACTCGTTAACAGATACTGTATTTTGATACACAAACTGAAATCGAGATAAATTCATCTTATATTGGATATCCATATTAAATAGATATTTTAATGGCGCGCCTAATACACTCTTCAGAATTACGCGATTCAATAAACCTACGATCTTCTACAGTACTGATTAGGAAAGGAAAAAAATTAGAGGATAGAAAAATCAGTCAATCAGTCGATTGCATCAATGAAAAAAGTATTGCAACCGCATGAATGTAATTTACGAAAGATCTATTAATACAATTCTTTCTTTTTATATGTAAATTTGTAGAAATCAAATTAAGTTAGTAACATATTAACCCATATAAATTATATAGGCGCAAAATTTTTCATCTTTCTGAAAAAATAAATTTTATTTATGTATTTCCGACGAAAAAGTCTGTCCTAGAATATTTTTATTAAAATGCAGTTACAACATTTTTTAATGATCAAAGTCGACAGTGAGGGATTGTTAATGAATCCACTGTGTGTCATATCGATAACAATTCGTTTCATTATTATAGGCTATAAGGCTTTATCTCGTTACAATGAGCATAAGTATAAAATAATTTTACATGTCGCCATATGAAAAAAGGCAACGGTAGCTTGATGTAGGACGGTTTTCGACTCATAGTTACCCTGCTTATAATAAGAGATTCGATTCGACAATAGATTCGCGTCTTTTCGCATTTTGGGCTGAGAATAGAATATACGTATGAGCGATTAAAAGATTGGAAAAAATTTAAATAAGTTTAAATTTTAATGCATAAATATGCGAAAATAATTTCTATATTTGTAACAATTCATGGAATTATTACAATTGATATAAAAACTATTTTTCACATCAATAGGAAACAAAGCTCGTCAAAATTATATCAGTCCCTTTAAACGAATCTAGTACATGTAAGCGTAATAATCGGGTCTATAACAATATCATCGATCAATTAATCTATTGGAGAAAATATTTCAGAATCTTGCACAGTATATCCCTATCATCTCGTATACTTTTAATATACAAGCACTTTGCATTTGTAAACAGCTGCTCAAATATTTGTTCCGAAACGTGTAACGAATCGACGAAACGAATCAATTGCGCCTATTGTCTCGACGCTGTCATGTATATAAGCTCGCCCGTTTTCTTTTTGTACCTGCAGTATATTACTTGTAATAACGCTGATACGCGCATAGCGTTATTATAACGTAATATAAATATCCGTCCCATGTAAAAACGAGAAAACATGTTTACAATTTTATAACAAGAATATATAAATAAGACTAGATTTATCGTTAGACGATTCGCTTAGAAAAATATGACGTGGCGACGGTATCGATGCAAGTCTCTGATTTTCATCCGATACCATCCCAAATGCATCGCAGTCCGATATTAGTCTAAACACGAATTATCTCCGCGTATCTCCGATCCCATATAGATATGGCGAGCACAAAATTTCACTCTTTGGTTAACCCGTTCTCGCGGACATATGCGGGTATAATCTAGACCGGAATATATATACATACACATAGTCCAGTCTCTCTCATCTTTGGCACAAAGCTGAAATCCAGTTTGTTTCTCTATCTTCATGACGCGCATCATGACACGATACTCTGTTGATTAAATTTTACTTTCATCATGTACAAATAATGTGTGTATATATGTATGCGATATCTTCACTTTATATTATTATGCACGCGGATATTTATTTAACTTTCGAATTTTAAATATACTATTATATAACACATATACGATTGAAAGTTCACTTTCAAATCATTTCAAATTCAAAAAAGTGATTATCAAAATTCTCATAGTTTTTTCACTTTTTGACTTTTAACACATAATTTCCATCCTTCAGGATTAAAAAAAATTGCAATATATATTATAAAGTAATTTATAGATCCATAAATCTGAAAAGTATTTTAATAATAATAATTTTCCTTTTCAAAGATATAGATTCAGAAAGCAATTAGGAAGGATCTTTAATTTTAGAATTATATATGTAGCTAAAAAAAAACAGATTTTCACAAAGTGAAGAAACAAAAAGGAAAAGAGATTCAACGATAAAAGAGTAACGTACGTCGTACCATGTCATGACTTCCGTTCATCAACTGACACGTCGCGAATGTCAAATCTCACGTGAGGGGCAAAGTCTGATGATCCTCCACAAAGTTGTTCGGCACTTCCAATAGATTGCCACGAGGAAGCGGAGAATGAACGAGAGCGGCGTCTCCCTCGACGTCAAGATCGGTCGCATCGCCGTTTATCGCATTGGCACCGCTGCCGTTGCCGGTCAGTTCGCGCACATTACCGGGCAAATAGTCTTTCCAGCTTCTGAACAGATATCTGGTGAATTTCCTGAGCTGCCGGAATTTGCAGTACGTGGCACCCTCCGCGGACTCTAGTTGCTGCGTTTGAATGAGAAAGCCCTTCTCTTTGAAGGTCTGCTCCAGCTTCTCGCGCTGCAGGGACTTCCTAGTTTTTCTCTTTCGTCGTCCGTCATCCTGGCTGATGGGGTTTCTCTGGCATGTAATCGGGGATTGGATTCTCTCGCCGGCAGCGCTGAGGAAAGCTCCGGCGGCGGAGGTCGTCCCGGACTGGCTCGCCGGCTGTTGAAGGGCTTCTCTAGGGAAGAACTCGTAGCCGCGCATACTCTTGTCACCTGTGCCACTGTAATAGCGGAAATTGCCGCCCGAATCCACGGAGAGACTCTTCTTTTCCTGTAGACTAGGCTTGGCGCCGCCGGTGAATTTGAACTTGCATATACTCACTTCCGTCGCCGGATTGTTGTTGTTTTCCGTCGGTATCGGTGGTATAAATATTGCGGAACGCTTTCGCTTAGTCGGCTGATTCTGCGGCTGATTTAGAGGAGCGTTCCTCTTCGGTCTAGGTGACGGTGGTGCAGCGATCGGCGTCGGCGTCGGCGTCGGCGTCGGCGTCGGCGTCGGCGTCGGCGTCGCCTGAGACACAGGTAGCGCAGACACTTGAGGTATGCTTTTGGTCTCCATCATCGAATATATCGATTTGGGCACGATTTTCTGCTCCCTCGGCGGTTGATCCGTCGGCCGCGGCGAGCACTTGTCACCTTGAGCAACCTTCTGATAATACAGCAATTGAGACTGCAGAGCCATCGGATGGATGAATACGCCGGTGTTTGGCCAATACACGAAACCAGAGTTGTGGCCGATCATCGGATCGATCACGTTGTTATTATGATTGACGAGACTGTTGTTTGAACGATGGATTATCGAGTCCGAGTAGTTGATCGGTTCCGATAAAAAAGCGCTTCCAAGACATTCCACTTCTTCACCGTCACTGGACGTCTCGCTCTTCATTTGACCGGATTCATAAACGTTCCCATGCTTCCGCAGTAGTCGAATCTTCAACTGGTTGAGATCTCTGATGCAGAGATTCAATGGTTCATCCTGCTCCCGCGCGCTCTCAGATAGCGCGACAAAATTCCGTCTAGTCTCCTGTGTCAGCCGCTTCTCCAACAAACTACTTATTCTGTTTTGCACATCCGTCTTCTGAAAAGGCAGATGTGGCGATACACGGTCCTGAGAATCCTGTTTGTCCCGAGGCGACAGTCTTCTCTCCTCGTGACCGGGCGTACCCGGCAGTATAGTGCCATAATTCTTGTAAATTAAATGGCAGATATCAGCTTTCTTCGGCTTTCGGCCGCGTCTAGGCTTGCTATTATCGAGGGTGATCTCGCCCATGTAGGGAAGATCGGAATACTTCATTGGCGGTCTGCTAGACGTTTGCGATTGCGTCTGCTGAGCATGATGATTGGGATATGGTGCGTTGGAGTAGGCTTGCGAGGACGCGGACGTGATAACGGATCTCCTAGTACTGGTGACTTGATTGTCATGACCAGGAGTCGGATTCTGAGGCACAGACGCGACGTGTGGACAGAGCTCCTGCTGCATCGCTGCGATCCGTTGTAACCAACTGTGAGTGTCGGCGATAGGACTTGGAGTGGACGTCGAGCTCGTCGGCGCTGGGCTGGGTGCCGCCGGTTCGATGGTTCGCGGTGGCGACGAACTCAGGTTTTCCTGAGCCAATGAAGCCTCGTAGTGATCCAAGTATTCCGGCGGAAGCGCCTGATGATGAAACTTGAGCTTCCATCGCGATTTTCTGCGACCACGGCTGCAACATTAAAATATATAGAAGTTTTATAATTTAATTTAATATTCACACATAGGGGTGTGTGGCATGAATCGCCATGTATTCTTGTTTACTTAAGTGTTTTTTTTATTTCAATATTAATTTAAAAAAATTATATAAAGAGAAGAAAATATTTTTCAACGAGAAAATTATTGATTGAAATCGGAAAAATATTTTTGAGAGTTACTTTGAATAATAGTCCCACCGAGAGCAACATTATATTCTAATATTACATAGAAGGAAACCATATTTAAATCAACGCTCACAGCAGTTATATCGTTTCTTCATTAACGCCAGTGACTGCATTCCGGACCACACCTTAATACACGGCGCTTTATGCAGAGAACGTATTCGATTACGCTTCCTCTGCTCTTGCCGCTCTGCTCGGGCCATTTAATGAAATTCAATAATAACGGTGATCTCTCTCGCCGGCGCGTCTCGTTGACGTATATCCGCGAATCCTTTTTTCCGCGCGTTCGCGCGCGTCTCTTTAGAAGACTTGCTCGAACCAGTTTCCTGGCGCCTGTCTTTCTTGCGAACGACGCCAGCGATGATCGTTTAAAGCACTTTCCTGGCTACAAGAGCGGCCGGTTCTACGTTAAAGACGTCGTTAGTGACATGGCGAAGGAAAGATACGAGATAGTTGTTGCCGCGGATCGCGCTACGTGACAATGTAAGCCGTCGCGAGACACGTTTCCCCAACGCAATGTGAAATTTGTCTAGAAGGATGCAAATATTTCATCTGTTGCATATATATATGCAAATGTAATATTTAATTCAATGTATTAATTTTAGGATGATTGAAAGCAAATTTTATATTAGTGATATCAAGCGTGATTATTATCTCACTACTAGTTTAATTACACTGATAAAATATTGCGTGTAAAAATTGTATTGAGAAAAATAAATCACCTGGATCGTCCTCGGTTGTTAGCATCTGGAACTAACGTTGAATTGTCCTCCAGTCCTTGAATTTGATGATGGCCAACTTGCTTGTCCACCGAACCCGTGGCGTTGATCGCATCCACTTGCGGACTATCGAAATCAGAAGAGATTCTCGTTCACGACGTGCTTAAATTGTTATTTTACATTAAATTATTGTCATCAAATTATTCTTAATTTTCCGCCAAAAAAGATGGGAAACGTCAACAAGATTGTAATATACGACTTATAAACAGGAAAACAATATTCTACAAAAAACTATCCTCTAATATCCTCTAATATATGTCGTGTATTACTCGTTATGTAATTTGTCACCTGGAGAGTTAAAACCAATCGATATATATGCGACGTATGTCATGCCAGACACGAAAAGAGATTCATAACTCACCTCAACGTGCTCGCATCGCGACTTCGCTCTTCCTCCTCCTGAGGCTCTTGCTTAACGGCCATGTGGATCACGGGTGGTAACGGACAATGTAAATGCGACGAGTGATGCAAATGATGCTGCAAACCAGCGTCGTCGGTCAGACTACTATCTATGCCAACAGACTGTGCACGCGGCACGACTTCCTCAGTCTGCATAGTGCCCCCTGAAAATTCAAACAAGCAAATCGCTATTAGAGTTTATCCCATTTCGCACGAATACATGTAGAATTCTTCTTTAGATTTAAAATCCCACACGAAAATAATTTTCTCATGTATACTTTAGCAAATAGCTTCCAAAACATACTTCCCGGTTTCAAGTATACTTGGACGTTCAATTTCAAAAGTTTGTTTTAAATGTCAGAATTTCTAACAATAAGACATTGAATCGGCTTCAATTTTCGAGGACGAGATAGCTTATATTGTAAAGTGAATGTAAAAAAATCTTCCTCTCTTCAACGTCTCCTGCATCTCATACATATGCAAGTATTTTCAATAGCGAGATCGTAGCTGAGAAATTGTACGCGTTGACGAAAAAAAAAATGATTCGTTAGAGATTGACTTGAAGCGACATTTCCAAACCGAGTGCTCGACTTCATTAATTATTAATGAAGTCGTAATGTGCTCTCTTAATTTTGACAGAACGAAAAACGGGGTCGGAAGTAGCCGCCGTGCGAACAGCTTCCACTTTCTTATTTCGGCATGCGAGAACCACGCGAAAGGTTGTGCGTAGGCCGGCGTCGAAGCCGGAGATCGTTGCCGGTGTGCGAACAGATTGCGGAATATTCATAACCACTGTATTAATGAGCGTTGGATTAATGCCGCGGCGAATTGCGTGTTGCATAGATTTGACGGGCGTGAGAAATGGCGTAGAGGCTAAACAAATGCTTCACGTAGAAATGGATAAACGATAAAACGCACGATATGGCCGTCGTTGCACCATCGAGAGCGAATCGCGTAGGCGACCGTGTGTTCGTCCAAGGCTTCGAAATCGCACAATAGCAAAGCTGCGAACGCTTACGCGAGAAAGATCCGCTTTGGAACCGCTTCTCTCGTGAAACAGCTCGTCTCATTCGACACCTGTTGCACCACGTTGAGTAATTCATTATCAAATTCTGAAACTCTCTGTTCATATAATATAATAATTTGTATGATCATAATTGTAACTCGCATTAATTCGTAACATTTCGTAAACATTCGGGATATCATATGCGCAAAATATTTCTAAGATTCTCATACGACTACTTATAATTGTTACACATCATTTGATTTTTTATTATATATAAAAAAGACAGTCTATATATTATATAAAAAAATCTTAAATATTAAATTAAAAAATATATTTGTTTTATATATCATCTGTTATTAAATGATACATAATATATAAAGAATTGTTTAAATTCTATATAATGTGTAAAAATTATTTCTATATAATATTTTTTATATATCAATATAATGAGTATACAGCATTTTTTTATTCATATACATATAATATTTATAATAATTCAATAATAATATTTATGAAAAAGATAAAAAGAAAAAGAAAAAGAAAAATATTTTACATTTTAGCGTATAATTTAAATGCTAAAAATTTCTCATATATTTTTTTTTTAATATTACAAATGCTTTACAAATATTATATGACATTAAGAACACGATATGAAAATTCGCGTAATCAAGGGTCAACGAAACAAAGACATCAGTAATTGGCACGCCAAAAGATGTAGGGAAACAATGCGTAAGAAATTAAAAAAGGGAAAGAGGAAAACGCAGAGAAGACGAAGAAGTGTATTATACATACGACTCCGCAGCACATCGTCGGATAAAAATATTCCCGCGCACAAATAGAAACGGACACACACTCCGGTACTGCCCACCCAACACCCGCAATTTCTGAACCATATTTGGTCTTAATCGATCAGGTTTCATGTCTCACGATTATACATCTTTATATATTATAATTTATTTCAAAATAAGATTTCAATACAAAGTTAAGCTATATGTTTCGAAATCAATCAGAAATATTATTTCATATTCGCATAAAAATAAATGTATCAATTCGATTGCATTTTAAAATAATGCCACGAAAATAATTTTTAGTGAAAATCTAGATCCATCATTTAAATATGACTTATAAGAGATCGAGAAAGAAAATATTTTTTCACATCCAGAGGCCAACGCGAGTAATAATTACATGGCTGAATTGCGACTAGAAATTAAATAATCATAATAAGTAATGTAAAGATTTATATCAAGAAAGACATTTATAGATCCGTAATTTTATTTTTAAAAATAAATATGATTTAAATATAGCAAGACCTTAAAAAATGTAAGGTTTCAAAATTTTGAGAATTAACGCATTAAGTATAATTTCGAAAATTTAAGCTTTTCAAATTTTTAGGTTTTAAATTAAGGAAAAAAGAAAGAAAGTAATACATATATTATTTAAAGATCTAAAACTCCAAATTTTAAATCATAAAGACTTTATATAGTATAAGTTGCACAATTGTAAAAATACGAAAATTCTCTGAAATTTTTAAAATACCGCGACTTTAATCTTTAATAATTTTCAAAACGCAAAAAGTTTCGCAGAAACAAACGCCAAAAGGCGAGACTAGTGGAAGATATTAATATCGATATGTGCGGGAGGTGGCTCGTTTTGAGACCGCTCATTGAAGACCAGTTATAGAATGATGCAGGCGAACGCGTAACTACAATTTATTTTTTGGCTATTTTTAGCAGTTGGCGTACCGCCACTATTTTCGGTTCTCTCAAATTTCTCACTCCATATTTAGGATTATGGTTGATGGTATCGTGCCGTACTTTTGCTGTTATGATTGCTGAAGCGCATTCGTCGTGCACGCTTACACATATAATCATACATAGCTTCGACTATATTATCCAGAATTAATTTAAAACATCGATAAAAAGAAAATTTTATTTCGGAAAAATTTATAAATATAAATCATACGTAAAAAGTGTTTCTGTCATATCTTGAGTTACAATCCAATATATTCGTGATAAAAATATAAAAATATTTGCAATGTTCTCTTAATCAAAATGGTTATTATTCCTTTTCTTTCTTATCTTTCCAGTAGTATTGCGTCAAATTTTAGTATTCACACAGGTAACAAGTGGACGAATTGGAACGCATATTTGCTTCGCGGGAAAGCATGTGCTCTCGCGTTCTATTGGCAAAGGCGCAACTAGGTTAAAAACGGAAAGTCAGTCGTGATAGTCGAGAATGTGTCAAGGTGATGTAATGTCTGAAGAAAAATTCTTTGGAAAAAATTATTTTCTCTGGAGAAAAATATCGAAGAAAGATAAATATGTCGAAATATTCTCGATCTCATAATTATTCAATTTTATGAGATTTTATTGATTGCTCATACATAAACATGTCATATAAATCGACCTGCTTATATATTACAATGCATCGATGGATCGTGATCCAGTGGCCTGATTATGATTTGCCGCTATAGATCCATAATTACATGTCAACATCCGCGCGACGTAATGATAGTGTCCCACGTGGACAGCAGGGACCTATCGTGAAATTATTCGTAAAAGTTTTTTGATCGAAAAAAATTTACTTCTTGTGCCTTTTCGCAATCGTAAGAAACGATCAAGAATTTCGAAATTTCACGAGCAAGCGCAAAGACGATTTTTCAAGGTTATAAGCTTCATTAAGTGATTAAAGAAAATCGTAATCACAAGGCAAAAAAATTCATCATTGTATATATATTGTTGTCGAAAATGCAATGATTCGCTGTCGATTACCTGTGACGGGAAAGTTGCTTTCCGGCAACATGAACGTATCGTTCTCGACGAGTCTTCTTTCTGAGAGAACCACGCGTTCAGCGATCGGCACCGCGCATTGCGAGCGTCTTCTACTCCGATGCGATTTTCGCGCGCGATCGATCCACCATCGAACCGAATGACACGGCAATCATTGTCGAGCACAATCACAAGACTTCGATTAATTACTATCGCTCGATCGGCTCGTTCAATGCTTCGCGATCGCCCACGCGATCGATTCTACTCGCGTGGTTTCTTGGCAGACGTATCGAGAGATACTTCAAATGGAATCGAAGATAGAAAAAGAGGAGAAAGACGAGGAATGCCGAGCACGTGGATAAAATTCCTCCCAGATGAAGAGAGGAACTTGAAGAAACTTTTGCGAGGAAAATGAGAAGTGGCGAGTAAATGAAGAACGATGAGGGGGAGAGGGAAGAAATGGAACCGATAGAACGAAGCGAAGCGTTTTGAGACACTTTTGGCACTGTTACGAGCGAGAGTAAAGTGGACAAGAGCGACAACTCCAAGAGCGACGTCTACACCTCCGTCGAGGGAACCGGAGGAAACGTCGGCGACGACAACGACGAAGAAGACGACAACGACCAGCCCTCCACAAGAGGAGCAAGCGGAGGCGCGGGCGTGTATATTCTCGATTTGGGCGGATGGAAATCTGAGATTGCTCCATATTGGGCTGTGAGTCGCGGCTACGGAGGTGCTCTGTAATAGCAGAGCTCGACTTCTTCCCTCTCTTTTTCGCCAATTCTATCTTTCTCTCTCTTCGTTCTCGCTTCGACGAGCGCACATATGTTCGTATGCGCATACATATACGTGTCTCTAGCTTTTTCATTCTATTTTCTCTTTCTCTCTCTTTCTCTCTTCCCTCTCTCGATCTACCACAGTTCTCTGTATATGATGCGACCAACGAGGGTATATTTAACCCCGCGAACCACCAACGAGGAATCGAGCCGCGCGCGCAAGCCACTTCTCGTACTTGGTCCTCCTCTTCTTCTTCTTCTTCTTCTTCTTCAACGCTCGTTACATCCCGCGACTACTTGTGAAACGAGTTAAACCTCTTTCACTGTTTCGTAGATTTATTTTTCCCTTTGATTAATGGATTTCAGAAATTATGATACAAAAGAGGAAGCAATCCAACGAATTGTTCCATCCAATTAAAAGCTCTTTATTCGACATGTTTTGGCTGATGAATTTTTTCAAAACTCTATTATATTAAATTTCACTTAAATTAAGAGAAGTAGCGCTGAATCTAAGATTCGCTATAATTTTACTCTTATAAAGTAATGAATCTATTAATAAAATATACTAAAAATTACTATAATAATAAAAGAACGTTACGCATTCCACGGAATAT